TTATTTACATGCAGTCATCGTAAACAAAAATAGGAATCCGATAAAACTGACAGTAAAGGTGTAATGGCTTTACATGCCCTGTCAACATCGACTTCCGGTGTGTAACAGGTACCTGGAGTATCCACCATGCTGAAAGAGGCATGCACGACAACTTGATGGCATACTGTTGAGTGAGTTGTGTGGAGCTGTCCTGGGTATTGTCTACCATTCAGCCAGAACACCGATTATAAACTGGGCCATGTTGGCGGGTGCTTGACCCTTGGTCTACACTCTCCGGCCTTGAGTATCTCAAAGATGATCTGTTTTGGGGCATGTCATCTAGCCAGTCCAATGTCCATATACTTTATCGTCGGACCTAATCGGAGACGACCCGAGCACCATGTGGTCTGACGTCATCTGTCGTCATGGAAACGGACGCGACAAAAATGCGTCAATAAATGGCCAGTCAATAGGTGACAATAACAGATAAGTTCGTTGGTCACGTGACAACGCTGCCCTGCACCGGGACCCCAAATCCATCATGGACAACAGGTCTTAATCTGAAAAACTAATTGACGCTACGTCGCAAACAACGTTTTCTGCAATCGGTGAATCGGGGGCCAAATTGTGATTGGTTCGTGTAAAATTGGGAATCGCCAATTGTTCATAGTCTGTCCCTAGCATTGCTAAGCCCATCCCAACCTATGGAAGCTGATGATACAGGTTTATGAGTGAGTGAGTGAGTGAATTGAGTTTTACGCCGCACTCAGCAATTTTCCAGCTATATGGCGGCGGTCTGTAAATAATCGAGTCTGGACCAGACAATACAGTGATCAACAGCATGAGCATCGATCTATGCAATTGGAAACCTATGACATGTTTCAACCAAGTCAGCGAGCCTGACTACCCGATCCCGTTAGTCGCCTCTTACGACAAGCATGGGTTACTGAAAGCAAATATTCTAACCCGGACCTTCACGGGTCGATACAGGTTCATGATATATGAAAAAATACTGTATCGTATATAAATTAGAAAAGTTAGTATAACTAGCTATTTTATTTCAGCACCATCTCACTCTGCGATACATCAAGACATGGTTGACACTGTATTCGAGGTTGCAATATACAGACTTCAAATAAATGCCTACAAGGCCGCCATGCAAAACTTCACTAAGAAAGCGAAAGCTAGAGGTAAGTATCGTTTGGTATCTTTTTATAAAAAGAGTATTTCTATAACCGGGGTAATATTGTGTTAGCGCCTTGAACATGCACATGTGTATGGTACAGTGGCTTCTATAAATAGCCATTATTACCGTTATTGATATTTCAGACCACTCCAACGACGCGGTGCTGGCACAGATCTCTGGTTGGGGTGACAGCCTGCTCGCTCAAACTGCAACGGTCGAAACTCACGCTAAGAGCATTGCAAGTCAACTGCAAGGCGGCAAAGACGTTAGATAACTTTGGTTCAACCTTAAACTATAAAACCACTTCATCAGTTTAAATATCTAATGAAGGAATACAGAGATTGGAATTTAGAATTTAAAAATGTACTTACTGAAGTGATGTCATATTCCACCATAAAATAATAAGCCAGCGTTTTATCTTGTAGTTATTTGTACAAGGTTAAGTTTGCTCATTGTGAACCACAGATTAGTGATATGGTATTTGGTTAACGAGAGTAATATGTGTGAAGTGGGTACCTCAATGATGAAAGACGCTGTGTGGAACTAGCTAAATATTTTAACTATATGAGCTGCTCAACGATTAAATAATATACTCTCCCAAAAAAGAAACGCATCATGAAAATAGCAGTTTCATGTAGCAATGAATTAAAACGTGATTCATTTTACAAAAGGTTTTACTCTGTTTATGAGTCCGTCCAAAACGCTCGGTCCGTAAAATACCCGTATTTAACAGCATGATTTTCAATTTCGGCGTGTAGTGTCACAGAATACACAATTCACATGTAATGCAAGTGAAAGTTGGGGATCAGATAGTCTCAATGATGGGTATAAAAGGTTGATCGTTGTCTGTCGATTAATCTCTGTATTTGGAATATTGTTGACGAACGCAAAATGCCACGTCTAAGTGAAGCCAACCGTCATATCGCCATTGGTTTGCTTGAAGCTGGCCAGTCTCAACGTGCAGTTGCCCGACGCATGAATGTTCACCAAAGCACCATTTCACGGCTCTGGGAGAGATATCGCCGGCAGAATTTGGTAGCAGATGCCCCTCGGAGTGGGCGACCTCGAACGACCACTGCGGCGCAGGATCGCTACATCCGGGTACATCACCTGCGTCATCGAACAGCTACGGCGACCAGTACTGCTCGACAAATACCTGGATTGAGGAGGCTTTCTGCACAGACCGTCAGGAACAGGTTGAGAGAGGCTGGTTTACGTGCCAGAAGACCTTATTTTGGCCGAGTGCTTCGACAACAACATCGTCGACATCGAGTTCAATGGTGCACCAACGTTCAGGCCTGGAACCTACCGAATTGGCGTAGAATCTGGTTCAGTGATGAATCACGATTTCTATTGGAACGACGCGATGGAAGAATGCGGGTATACAGACGTCGACGTGAACGTTTCACCGACGCTTGCGTTCCCCAGGTGGACAGATTCGACTGGGACAGTGTTATGATGTGGGGGGATATCACCGGCTGTAGGAGAAGTGATTTGGTGATGATCCAGGGCAACCTGACAGCTCAACGGTACTGTGACGAAATCCTACGCCCACTCCTCCTTCCAATCATTGATCGCCAGAGGGAGTTTTTTCAACAGGACAATGCCGGGCCCCACACAGCACGTCACACTAGAGACTTCCTTCAGAACCACAACATCAATGTGCTCCCCGGCCCTCAAGATCACCGGACTTAAACCCGATGGAACATCTCGGGGATGCCCTGGACAGATGGGTGCGACGCCGTAACCCTCAGTCCCAGACACTTCAGCAACTCGCACAGGCACTACAGGCAGAGTGGGCTGCGATTGGGCAACACGAGATTCTGAGACTTATTCGTTCGATGCTAAGGCGATGCCGTGCAGTTCTGGATGCCCACGGTGGTCTCACGAGGTATTGACTTCAGCGCCACCACACGTCTCCATGTGACACTCACTCTGACTTTCCTCGAGTTGGTGCCAAAGACGGATAAGTCTGCATTCCCAGTGTGCAATTTCGCTATATTTCATTGACTCATAAAGCCTACAAGATGTTTCAAAATAAACATAAAAATACAGTTGAAATTCCTATATGCGTTTCTTTTTTGGGAGAGTATATTTATGAACCAACAGGTCACAATTTAATTCTTGACTAACAAAAGTCCAGAAACTCTCTGCGCTGTGGGCAGTTTCTGACAAGGGATTTGACCAAATTAAACATGCAGTTGTTATGAATATATGCTGAGGATAAAAAATGAAAAAATCTTTTCGAAAACTTTAAATTTGAATGTCACGTAGAAAAAAAGAACACAGTTTTTATGCTTTGTGTTTCCTTTGTGAGAAGGTTTGATAAGGCCCTTAGCTTGTGAGTGGTGAAGTGTGACGTCCTGGGCAGGAAGTGACAGTGTAATGACTTCTTTCCTTAATTACCCAGTTAGGGCTCCTTACTTAACCTTTATTTGTTCTGATGCAGCATAGACTATTTGTTATATTTGGAAGTGGTTATTGGCGAATGTCAATAGGATTGACAAGACATATTTCCATACAGTTAAAGCTCTCACAATACTGTGTTTATGTTACAAGAATTACAAATGAAAAGTAATATTTCACATTCAACAATTTCTTAATTTTGACTCTTCCAACGTGTATGTTTTGATATTATCTGTACATACACGCATACCATTGACGAGCCACATTTCCAGTTGCACTGAGTTATTTCGCATGTTGTACGTTAACGAACTAATGAATAAGCTCCTGTACTGAGGCTTATCCTGCTGTGATTTCTGTTCTGTTTCATGAATCAATGTATCGTTGAAGCAGTATGTCAGATACACAAGGTAGTATCTGTGTGTTGTTCTATGAAGCCATATCACATAAAAATGATAGAACTTTGGAGCATTCGCAGATTGTTGCGAAGCGGCATTCTGACAATATTTTCAGTCATTATTCGATCCTAAACTGGGTCACCAGTGTTATGCCGATGTTGGTTAAAACGATGCTTTTTCATTGCTTCCGTATTCTCAAATCATCTACTATACAATATCACGTCATACTGTAGTTAGGTAACTTGTTCAATGGTATTACTTCTAATGTTTTAAGTGCCTAGTGACTACATACCTATCCGCAAGACGATTTATTAATGAAACAATAGGCGAGATCTTTCAATACAACTGAAAGCTCATGACAGGTAATTAATGACAGATGTTTGGTCCCCTGTCGTGATATTGCTGGAATATTGCCTAAAGCGGCGTAAAACTAAACTCACTCACTCAGATGGTCGGATTTGGGTCTGCTCATGGTTATATCCCGGGAAAGCCACTTTTAAGAAAATCAGAGTTGAAAATGGTGTGGCTGAACCGTCAATGGGTATGGTTGAGTGATCGTGTGAATGTGGCTCTCCCGGCAATGCGCTATTAGCTAATCCATTAAATAATGAAGATTTTTTAATATTGCCGTAAATAACCCGAATTAAGTCAAAATTAGTTGAATTTTGTGTCATGATAGTTATACACATACACACACTCATGTACAACCTCCAAAACATGGAAAAACATGTATTTTGAGTAAAAGTAAATATTCTCGCCCACGGGCCAAAATGTTTTTCGCCCATGGGCGAGATTTGTTAATATCGCTCTGAATTAGCCGAATTAAGTCAAAATGGGTTGAAATTTGTGTAAACATACACTCTTTCATTTACAACCTCCAAAACATGAATTATGAGTGAAACTCAACATTCTCGCCCATGGGCGAGCGAGTTTAACTTTTGAGTTTTCGAATTTTGAGTTTTTTTCATTTTCTCATCCTCAGCATATATTCATAACAACTGCATGTTTAATTTTGTCGAATCCCTTGTCAGAAAGTGTCCACAGTGCGGAGAGTTTCTGAGAGTCCAGAATTAAATTGTAACGTGTTAACCGTTGTCTTGGTAACTCATCAATAACATATTTATTGAAAACTGTGCATTAACGTACTCACGAAAGGATCGTTTGTGGCATCTATGTTAAGTTGACAATGCTATTGTTATTTGGCGACAAGTTTTGCACATTACTACTGCAAACCAACTGATGAGCAGGTCCTAACAATAATGGTGTCTACAAATTTACTTTTGGACTGTTACTGTGTTCATCTGAAGTCAGGTTGTAAGGTGTATATTGTACGTATGATTGATATGTGTTAATTCTTCAAATAATGTTCTAACTCCTTCGAATTCGGAATCTGTGTCCAACTGCATCGATTCACATAGTCACTGACACCATAACCAAAATGAAACTAGTTTATGTGGTAGCATTATGAATTTATGGAGGAAAATATTAAGTCCCTCCAAAACCTTGAGTGCGTGTGTAACGACCCCAACCCCACCCCAAAACAAAACAAAAACAAACCAACACCACCCCCTAACGGAAAAACAAAAGCAAAATTTCAACCAAAACACCAACAAACAAACAAACAAAAATACCTAACCCAGACTCATTATTAAAAAATACTCAAACTAATACAAACCACACAAAGCAATCAGCCACATTCTTATATGATACAGATCAACTATATCAGGCAAAAACCGTCACTCGTGATCGCTCGTGTCAATCCGACTCATTCCGAGGCTGGCCCTGATCATGAGCAGATTTCCGATTTTCAAAAAGGATACATTCAATAAGGACAATATTACACTATCACCATGCTACGTGGTGGGTGAAACTGTTTCGTCTATAAGTGATGGTTGAAAGGTCAGATATAACCGCAAATGTGGTGGAATATCTAGGTAGGGTACTTTGTCACAGAATTGTCTCCCTTGCATATGGTCACGTATGGTCGTCCGACAGAAATGCTGCAATCTTGGCACAAACGACTGTTCTCGGACCAGAGTCTTGTACACATCAAGGGGCTTAACTCTGCCAACTCTAGACCTTGGTTTTGACATGAACGAATCACCTATACGAAATCCCAAAGCAATGAGGGTTCTGGCCAGTTTCTTTCTGGTCTTGGTACTGAAGTCGTGTGGGTTCGTTGCGTAATTCAACAGTTTCAGAAGCGGCGTTTCGCCATTGTTGTTCTCGATATTAAAACGAGCACCATTCCTAATTAAAAGAACAATGGATTCGGAACAGGCACGGGTACAGGCTGCGTGAAGAGGGGTATCACCAGTGACGTGATGTATAGCGTTGACGTCACATCCGCTTTCAGCCAGAAGCCTGACGGAAGGCGGGCACTGTCCTGCAGCAACGTGAATGGCTTGTTTTCCACTCGGCAATCTCCGTTCTGGGTCAGCACCTAGTTTCATGAGCCATGAGATTATATCCCCCTGACAACAAGCAAACAACAACGCATGAATATAGATTATGTTACAATGAATACGATCAGTTTTAATTGCTACTGATTTTTGTATCAATATAACGATGAATGATCATGTACACTCTCTACATGAGTTCTTACCTGGTTAGACAATACACCTGCAAAATCACCGATACCGAGTTCAAGTATAATTGTTGAGCAATAACTCACTACATGCCCCTTATCAGGAATCCAATTTCACAATGAGACCGTGAATGAATTAGGTTTTAAGCTTTAGGTAGATGGAAGAATACTTAATGCTCCAAGTCGAAGATGTATACCACTGTTGTGAGACCCACGAGTGCCGTTACGGTGCTAGAAAACCTCAAATCCTGGGTTTAGAGACTGAACTGTTGAAATCGATATCCGACGCCACGCAGTCTTCACATATAGTGTTGTATTTTACAGAGATTATGTCCTCATATGACACGTAAAAGTAAATATTTATATTTGAGGAATACAGTCCGTAAATGCAAGAAGAAACCTACCTTTCCGCCAGGACGAGAAATGGCCGTAGTAAGTGGAGTTTCACCTCTCTGGTCCATAATGTCCACGTGACCACCAGATCTGACCAATAGCTTTGCAAGATCGTCATGACGTAGACTAAGAGCAAGATGCAGGAGTGGTTTCCCTTGATACCAGCTGTTGACGTCACCGCCCCGTCCCAGCAGGGCCTCGACGACAGTAACGTGACCATATTCCACCGCTTTCCCGAGGAGCCCGTTAATGTTGACGTAAGCTGTTTCTGTGATGACCTCATCGCACGTTATGTGCACGTCATCCACGTGTTTGAGCAGCGACACCAGAACATCTCCTTTCCCGGCTACAACAGCCTGCTTGAGAAGTTGCACACATTCTCGTCTTAGTTCTGAGATGTTGGAGTCGGTGAAGTGGGTGGACAATATTGGCTGGATGAGGTCGTGTTTACCCCTCTGAACGCACCAGTCTAGAGCGGCCATGGCGCTCTCCTTGGAGGCAGAGGGATCTACAACGTCCATGATAGAGTCTGGATAAGAGAACATGACAATCATAAGTCCCATATTTAACAACATGTACCATGTAACATATGTTATATTTGGGATTACACTTTCTCAGTAAAGTACAGATTATAGTGCTTTTGTTGGGTTGAGTTTCATCCCGGGTTCGAACCCACTCCCTAAGAGTCAGACACCTAATCGCCAGCACAGAAGGTCAGCCGCCTAGCCGGCTCAGCCACTGCGGCTTCCACAAAAAAGAACGTCTGACAGCTGGTAGTCTAGACCACGGACTGTACCAATCTGATAAGTGTAAAGGACATAAGGTCATGTACACAAGGACATAAGGTCATGTACACAAGGACATAAGGCCATGTACACATGGAAATGAGGTCATGTACACAAGGACATAAGGTCATGTCCACAAATACATAAGGTCATGCAAACAAGGACATAAGGTCATGTACACAAGGGCATAAGGTCATGCACACAATGACATTATGTCATGCACACAATGACATAAGGTCAGGTACACAAGGACATAAGGTCATGTACACAAGGACATAAGGTCATGTACACTAGGACATACAGCCATGTACATAATGGCATAAGGTCATGTACACGAGGACATGCGGTCATATACACAAGGACATACGGTCATGTAACAAGGACATAAGGTCAGGTACACAAGGACATACGGCCATGTACACTAGGACATAAGGTCATGTACACAAGGGCATAAGGTCAGGTACACAAGGACATACGGTCATGTACACAAGGACATACGGTCAGGTACACAAGGACATACGGTCATGTACACAAGGACATAAGGTCAGGTACACAAGGACATACGGTCATGTACACAAGGACATACGGTCACGTACACAAGGACATACGGTCATGTACACAAGGACATACGGTCAGGTACACAAGGACATAAGGTCAGGTACACGAGGACATACGGTCAGGTACACAAGGACATACGGTCAAGTACACAAGACACATATTGCCCACAGAAAGAAATGAGGTCATAATGCCACAAACAATTCCATGGGTATAAAGGAATTTATGTCTTATTTTGAGGATTTCGTTTAGGATTTCGTTACGTTTCGATGGCCAATTAGGTTTTATGCCTCCGTCCTGAATACTAGAAATTCCCTTATAATACAAAATTCGTGGAAATCCTGTGACTATATGTTATGACCGGGTTAGCATATAGTGCGCGTGTGTGTTCGTGAGTGTATGTACGTGGTCTAAATGGTGCTGAGACAAGGAAAAGCATTACTGCCACATTCTAAAACAATGTGACCATAATTCCAGATGATGCTTTCATTAGTGTATATGATTTTACGATCAAGGTAAAAGGAAATGACGTCGTGACGCGCTATGCAATTCATGTTGAATTCAATTCAAGTATACTTGATTCAACACACACCACACCTACCTTACAACAAACACACACCACACCTACCTTACAACAAACACACACCACACCTACCTTACAACAAACACACACCACACCTACCTTACAACAAACACACACCGTCTGTTCTTCATCCACACATGGCATACAGCAGACCGTACTTACCCTCCTCGTGCGTCCCAGACATTTCTACCACGTTGATGACGTCCGTACAATAAACATCACCTTGACGATGTTGCTCACAGACAATGGAGACGACGCTCCGTGTCAGCTACATCCTCCTACCAGGGAATGTCAAGCATCGATTGGCAGGACGTGCGTCATGATTAAAGTATTCGTCTCAGTGTCACAATGTATACTATGTTTACTGATGGTAAATACCGTGAAGGTCAACGGGACCATTTTGATTGATTTTCATCACTTAGTTCCATATAAACCAATGCATGCTGTATCAAAGCAGACCAAGAAACTTAAAGTCCCACCACTGCTAAGTGAATGCTCTAACTTCGCCATCATTATTTAAACGGCATAGCTGCATGTGTGATGCTTTCGTGCAAAAAGGGATATCGGAGCAGATATATCTAGCCGTGGGTGCATTAGATATTCATACTACACATGTATGTTGTGTTTCTTAAAGGTTATGTTGGTAAGACGTACGCACCAATCGCTGCTAAATATAGCCGCTCTCAGTCACGTGACTACATATACTATCATGTTAATTTTAAGGACATTACATCGTGTAATTTCCTTCACGAGACCATGATATGCTTGCCGTGCCGCTATCGGTGATATTAGTCAGGCGAATGGTTTTGTCTGAAGCCAAACAAGCCAAGGTCCCAGGATGTGGCTTGTACTTGAACTAGGAATGTGTATATCTGTGTAATAAATGTGATATTGCCCTTCTGTTCCAGATCATAAAACAAGTATGGTCACCCGTAGTCACCTTACTATAGAGATTTTCACAAGTAATTGGAAGTTGTGATTTATGCCCATTTTATACATTTATGTCACTAGGATAAGATGGAGATTGATTAGATATACAATATCCGTCGGTCCTGTATTTGTCCTCCACATCCAATCGGGCTGACTCCACGACTTGGCTGACTGAGTAGCTTCGTGACCCGGATGTGTGGACATTGGCTCACATACCTTCGGTTACTGGTTTGTTTCCAGTACTTACAACGGTCGTGGCACAGCTGACATCAACCCGTAAAGATCCGGGTTGTCCATGGACTTCAGCAACCCATGCTTGTCGTAAGATGCGACTAAGAGGATCGGATGGCTCTCAACACATACCACTAAATCATACCAGCACCTACATACCTACCATTCACATGGGGCGGTGGGGTAGCCTCGTCACGCCGAAGACCCGGGTTCGATTCCCCATATGGCCACGATACTGCTGGAATATTGGTAAAAGCATAGAGGCATACTGACTGACTCACTCGCTACTACTCAGTCATGCCACCGCCCACATACATATCTGGCACAAATACCTCATTTCCTTTTCTTCTAACCTTTTCCTGTTCTGTTAAGTCTCTCGGAGTTTATTCTATACATATGATTTATCATTGAGAACACATTGTTGACAGCACAGGTGCAGCGGAAATAGAGGGGTGTTTATTGATATGCTTTTTGATTGTGTTTGAAAGTAGCTGCCTACTCTAGCGTGAAAGGTCCACCCCGTGTACAGACAGGTAGATAAAGATCGGGATTGTGTGCTTGAGAGGCTACTCCATTACCCTGAATGAGGAAAAGGGTATATCAGTGAAGCATGTCTGTGTTGGACACGCATAATGTAGTGGGGAACTCCTGCTGATGACTGTAAGTGGCCTGTAGTGTTATGTGTGTCGGAGTGAGGGAACAAAGAAGTTGATGGGTTGGACTTCCAATTGATTCACAACGTGTAATACATTCTATGAAGTCGACTGAGAGTTGTGACGAGTAAGACTCCTTGTAATAGCGAGTAAAACGGACACCATGTAATGCGAGTAAGACAGACTCCTTGTCATAGCGAGTAAGGCGTAACCTTGTAATAGCAAGTAAGACAGACTCCTTGTAATAGCGAGTAAGGCGTAACCTTGTAATAGCAAGTAAGACGGACTCCTTGTATTAGCGAGTAAGACAGACTCCTTGTCATAGCGAGTAAGGCGTAACCTTGTAATAGCGAGTAAAACGGACAGCTTGTAATAGCGAGTAAAACGTCGACTGCTTGTAATAGCGAGTAAGGCGTAACCTTGTAGTAGCGAGTAAGACGGACTCCTTGTGGTAGCTAGTAAGAGTAGGAATGACTTCGTGTCATCCGGAGTAAAGCAGACACCTTGTAACGGTAGTATTTAGACGGACACCTGGTGATACTGAGTAAGATTGACACCTCGTAATACTAAGGAAGCTGGTGATACTAAGACGGACACCTGGTAATACTAAGACACCTGGTAATACTAAGAAGGACGCCTGGTGGTACTAAGAAGGACGCCTGGTGGTACTAAGAAGGACGCCTGGTGGTACTAAGATTGTCTAAAATGCGTCTATATCCATGGTTTGTGATAACTGATCATTGTTTGACCAATCACGTTAAGAGATCGCAGTTAAGCACTAATGAAAGATCTGGTGACATGGAAGAAAGATCTTTCACGACCAACCAATAAGATTATAGTAGCTAGTCAGAAAGTAATTTTCCCGATCTATACGGAACTTGTCTCAAACCAGCGACTTTCATTTCACACTGCACTTTGAAAAATGTTTTGACAAGTTTCAAAGTTCCCAATTCAAAATGTGAAAACCGAAGAATAGGACATTCTTTAATGCCCATTAGATTGCCGAGATTGTATGGCAGTGCTTGCCTTGGACTGCGATATGGCTCCCGTTCGAATGTTTATGTACTGACGAAAGAGATATGGGATGATTTAGACGGAACCAGTCGTCTTGCCCGTACTTGTCGTTCTGAATACTCCATGTAAATCTGTTGGAGGTAGAATGTTACGAGAACACATTCCGACTTAGGTGTTAACGAACTGGTAAGAGTGTAGTGTAGTGCTACACTGACGTGACCAAGGTGTGTGCAGCTACGCGCTAAAGCATTTCCATCGTCATGCAATGCACGTGCACTAGCCTACATCTGCTCTACCTTTCACAAACCAAACGGGCTTGCTCATTGCCGTGCATCGCCTACTTCTCGTTCTCTGCGCCGGTCCAACTTATCCTTGTTTGCCAGTAGATTATAGCATATTTCTGTCTTGTTTGATGGTCTCACACCTAGTTCACTAACGGACTAATACCCGTGTGACTGTTTGGTTTCAGCCTGGGAATCAACAAGTGTCAAAGTTGAACACGTTTGTCCAACACAGCAAAGGGCAACGCCTCACGATCAATATCTGCGGCGTAAAACACCATCTACCTCACGCCCCAAGGGAAATGTATGCAGGAGTTTACTTAAGAATGGCGTACACGTCGTATATTTACAAATTTATGAACAACAACTTCTTTTATTTTGTGAGTGAAACGCTTCGATACAGATTCTTGTATCGTTGACCCAACTTCTAAAATGCCAATAAAAGAAGACACATTGTATATGTTTTCCATTCTATAGCCACCACAGATACGTGAATGTTAGCTACAGCAGATAAATCGTCAATAATAAAAAAGTAGGGAATAATCATTGACACGCGAACCACATCGGCATCCTTCAGTGCAATAATTAACACAAGCCCCGCCCCACACTGACATCAGCCAATCAGGAAACACTAGCCTTGTTAGGAAATTATACCAATTGGTTGTTTAGCCAATCTCCTTTGCCTGTAACACATTTAGCATTATTCAGATTGAAACGGGGTTTTGTTACAGATTGTAGTCATGTTCATCATTTATATCAAATCTGCAAGACGATGAAATAAAGGGAGAGTGTGCTAAAACATTACATAGTATTGTGTTGGGTGATCGAACCGAAATGTGTCACTAAATACAAATATATTCTTGTTGCACTTATTTAAAAAAGCTGACTTAGTAGTAAGAATAGAATTGTTTTTATACATTGTAATTATAGCTATTGACAAAACTTAAACAATAAATTGTATGTTGTATAATATTCTCACATATTGTGAATACACTGGACGCTGTGTTTCACAAGTTTCACATTTGTTCAGTTGTATTTAGTTCATTTCCCTTCTGTAATATCATGTTTAACTGTATAGGGAGTTAAGAGTTATACGTGTTCCTAATTACATTGACAATTCATTAAGTTCCGACTGTCTCACTAGAGAGACACTGCACAAATATTCACACTATATGATGTCGATCTGTAAATAATCGAGTCTGGGCCAGACAATGCTGTGATGAACACAATAAGAATCGATCTGGTAAATGGCAGACAGTGATGACATAAGCGAACCCTCTCAAGACAAGCTTCATATTTTGTTCCGTAATCAATAAATTTAGATTTTCTTTTCATAATTTGCATTTGAGTATATTAAAATGCACTGAATGAGATAAATATATTCATTTTAATGAAAAAGCGTGACCATTGCCTACCTGACATGTCTTGAAGTTGGTTTCCCTGTGATGGAACTACAGTCGGTGTCCACCGTTTCCCGTAAGTGACAGTTCCATCGAGTGCCGCGGAGAGAAAGTCTCACTTTATATACCCGACCAGAGCCCACTATTAACGCATGAATATACCCTTTGTCCGCCTGCCCACGTCCATTCCATACTCTCGCCTGTACAGACCTGATACGTGTATTATCTTGAACAGTCAACATACTTCTTTAAATGTGGTAATAGTGTGTATGCCACACATAACACACTCTCCTTACACGGAGTGACAGTCTATTAAGACTGGGGAAATCCATCGACATGCGTATCTATATTAGATAGGGCCGTTCACCTGTTGTAAAGGGATCTGGCTTTTCAAACGTGACTTTGAATAGCTATACACGGCGTCTCTCCCCGAACAGAAGGTCATTGTTTATTGTAATACGTTTGACATAGTCGTAATATTCATGGGCCGTTTGACCTGTAGGAACTTGGACAATACTGGTCATAAATGTGATTAATATTGGATTGACACATGCGGCTTTGTGTTATAGCAATTCCCGTGAGAGGATTGGAGTGAATGAGTGAGTGAGTGAGTGAGTGAGTGAGTGAGTGAGTTTAACGTTAATTGACACTGACTCCGACACAACTAGTCTTTGTTCTGCTACGACCTGAAAGCCAGAAAGTACACGTACCATCTTTTGACGTTATTATGGTATAACTGGACCGGGGATCGAAGCACCGTTATTCCGCTGTCCGGGCTAACACATTATCTACTTGACTAGCAGGTGCCCCGGATAGGATCATAGTTTTCTATATGTTCTACCTTACATGGGTTCTACTGCTGTCCTCAACACCACTGTCTTGGAGGGTTATTGAACCAGGCAACGGAGATGAGACAACACAGGCCCAGATATTCACACCAATGTACTGGGACATCGTCACGGGGCAATTAGTCAGGTACAAAGACCCCATTATTACCTGGTTTAACCCCAATAGGAGGATCCACACTACACAGGTACGTGGCACTGTGCTTGCTTGATTGCAATGTAGAAAGGATCAAGGGGGAGGTTCAGGTGAGATTACTGGGCTAATCTTAGCGTGATATCATCATAGTACAGATAGATTACTAGGTAATTACACGGTACATCAATGATCAATTATCCACTGAGCCGATTCTTTGTAGCTTTAGACGTGATGTGAACTGGCACGTTCAAGATTATTTCACTGCAGTAGCGATGTGCTTGCACATGTGTGCTGCTTTTGCCATTTCGGACGGATGCCAGTGACAAGGGAATCGAACCAGCGATTTTCTTTATTCCGAGCAGACCCTCTATCACTGATACCAATAGAGCGTGATTGTGTCACTGGTGCAGACAGATTTGTTCTAGTTCTAATAGCTTGCTATTAAAGTAGAGTGAGTGAGTGAGTCTAGTTTTACGTCAGCAATATTCCAGAAATAAACGACGGAGACCACAAGAAATGGACTTCACAAATTGTGCACATGTTAGCAATCAAAATAGACACTCAGAATAGATCAAAGGCATATTTAAAAATGATATATAATTATCACTTTTAAAGGTTGAGTTGTACATGTTCGTGGAAATCGTAAACGATTGTCATGACTTAAAGTTAGAACTTAATCTTGACATAAGTTAGTGCAACAATACTTTTATTTTGTTTTACAGGTAAAGAGATAATTTGTAAAAGCAAAGGTAAATACATTGATTAATGTGCGTGTTACTTCCCCATAGACCCGGAGGTGGAAGATTGCCGAGTGAAGCATCAAAACAACAGTCATATAACATGCTTGCACACCCGTGAATGGTTGTGAAAAATAGGGTTGCGAAAACCTTGGACTCTTATACCAAGATAACTCACAGAATTCATTGACAAAACACAGTGGTATATAACATCATATTTCATCATCATTAGTGTTTATCAGAATTGGTCAAATCGACACGTACGAACTATTAGGTCCAAACATGAAATTAATTTTCCTTTCCTAATATCTTTCAACAGCAGCAATAACAAAAGGCAATATATGAATACATGAAACATGTAAATGAATGATTCTTCACTTGTGTTGTATTAGATGCGGGTACTACAGTTTTGGTGTTGACCTAAAGTTTGTAATGTTTCGGAAACGTTTTGATATATTAAGCTCACTGAAAGATTTTTGTAGGTTCATTCTTGTATATACTATACACATCCTCTTTAAATACCTTGTACATTCCTTTCACAAATCCGTGTTGTCAATGTTTTTTATATTGTAAATATGACATATGTAACTTCTGGGAAAGGGCGTTCCTAAGTTGGATAACTTGTGCCCAATCCATTTCATTTTCGAATAAATATGTTTAAAACAACGTTTTGATAATGTTTGTTATGTTTTGGTCAAATCCATTTTCCGAGAGTATACCTTTTTTGCTGCGAGACAGTTTATAACCATTGCAAACTACTATACGAAACGCACGAACGACAAGGCTTCACTAATTGTGCTCGAGGGTGTTATATACAATGCGATAATGTGGAAAGGGGTTTGCACGCTTTGGCTAATTCTGAGACAACAATGTTGTAATGGTTATCTCGATAGGTCACGTTCCACAAAGCGATATTTAGGATACGACTGTGTTCAAACTATCTTTATGAATATGACTTACTGCAGACTTAGTGATACGGTCGCTTTGTGAACCCGGCCCTGTGTCACGGGTATGTCGTCTAGCCGTATCATACAAATGCTATCTATAGTCTGCTGGACGTCGATCTGTCTTAGAATCTGATAGTTACGAATGAGAATCTGATCTGCAGCTGACAACCTGCACGTCATACATGTGAGTTCTACACGACTCTAAAATAGACGCCAGATAACTTAAGCCAACTAAGGTTCAAGGGCTCCGCATACGTGGGTTTTGATATTCCTATCTTAACTTGTGATCGCTTCCGCTTTGAAGCATAAGTAATTCAAGCCTTGCACACCATTCTAAATCGACTGCCTGTACCTGTATACTTAGTGAGTTTATCGTTTATATAATCCCACTTAAACACGTAATACATGTCTCCAACACTAGTGCACAACTACATGTCGATATTAACCTTATATCACGACTTTGTTGATTATATTTGTGTGTGACACAAACACAACCACGCTTTACCATACCGGGGTAATCTCTACTTAGACAGATAGGTATAGATAACGAATGTCGGACATTGATCACAAGTCATACACATGTGACTCACAGCTAACAACATTTACATTCTTACCTGTCTAATCACACCCCCACAGGTATGTCGCGTCATTCTCGCCTCGAGGTGGCCGTACACGGTCGACCATCGTCTCCTCCTCACCCTCAAGGTCTTGTTCTATTTCTGACTGGTTCTGGGTCTGATATCTGTCGTGTACGCCTGTCGTTATTCCACCCGCACTACTTGAATGTATAATGAGATTACGAGTGACTCTGCTTAGCGGCGTATTGAAACACTAGAGCTAAGTAGCGCAGATTCAGTCACCGTGAAATGGCGTTATAATTCTCCTGGTGTACTCAGCCACGTTTATAGCCGTCACCCCGTGTTGAGGCCTGGCGTGAGTGTTGGACAGCACAGGGCACTTGTGACTGCCAGTCTGATGGATTACCTTACTATTCAGCTTTAACAGTGCTTCAGATCTAGGGCTCGACAGATACCGGCTTACAGTGAAGTATTCATGCTAATGTACGAATTTATGATATATTGGTATGTAATGTATGCGAAAAAGGGTATTGATTTGTCTTTCTGATCTGGGTGGATCCGGGAGTCTGAGATATCATAAGTCATGGCACCATCTAGTGACACTATTATGTCTTCTAAACAAAACTGAAGTTGTTATCCGTTCTCTCTCTCTCTTTCTGTCTCCCTCTCCCTCTCCCCTCTCTCTGTCTCCCTCTCCCTCTCTTTCCCTCTCTCTTTCTCCCCTCTCTGTGTCTCTCTCTGTGTCTCCCTCTCCCTCCCCCACTCTCTCTCCCTCTGTCTCTGTGTGTGTCTCTCGGATCGCTCCCTGTGTGTGTCTCTCTCCCCCTCTCTCTTTCCCTCTCTCTGTGCCTCTCTCTCCCTCTCTCTTTCCCTCTCTCTGTGTCTCCCTCCCCCTCTCTTTCCCTCTCTCTCTCCCCCTCTCTCTCTGTCTCTCTCTGTGTCTCTCTCTCTCCCTCTCTCTTTCCCTCTCTCTGTGTCTCCCTCTCCCTCTCTCTCTGTGTCTCTCTCTTTGTGTCTCTCTCTCTGTGTCTCTGTCTCTGTCTGTCTCTCGCTATCTCCCGTTGTGAACAGGCCAGTCAAGATACGTTGAGACACAACCATGCCTCCTGACCACCCGATCTACTTTGTCGCCTCAAACGACCAGCAAGAATTGCACGGTATCCGTGCGAGGTCAATACACGAGTACAACCCCACCAGGATTAAGCACCACATACATACGTATACTGTTACATACAGTGTCACCCGTGAAGACCATAGTTAGAATTGACCTTCAGCAACCCGTGCTTGTCGAAAGGGGCGACTATCGGGATCGGGTGGTCAGGCTCGCTGACTTGGTTGACAAACGTCATCGTATCCCAGTTACGTAGATCGATGTTCATGCTGTTGATCACTGGACTGTCTGGTCCAGACTTGATTATTTACAGAATAGTCTGGAATATTGTAAAGTGTGGCGTTAAACAATAACCAACCAACCAACCAACATACAGTGTGGACACCGGCTTTACACGTTCCAGTAACAAGAAACCAACCAACCAACATACAGTGTGGACACCGGCTTTACACGTTCCAGTAACAAGAAACCAACCAACCAACATACAGTGTGGACACCGGCTCTACACTTTCCAGTAACAAGAAAACAACCAACCAACATACAGTGTGGACACCGGCTCTACACGTTCCAGTAACAAGAAAACAACCAACCAACATACAGTGTGGACACCGGCTCTACACGTTCCAGTAACAAGAAAACAACCAACCAACATACAGTGTGGACACCGGCTTTACACGTTCCAGTAACAAGAAACCAACCAACCAACATACAGTGTGGACACCGGCTCTACACGTTCCAGTAACAAGAAAACAACCAACCAACATACAGTGTGGACACCGGCTCTACACGTTCCAGTAACAAGAAACCAACCAACCAACATACAGTGTGGACACCGGCTTTACACGTTCCAGTAACAAGAAACCAACCAACCAACATACAGTGTGGACACCGGCTTTACACGTTCCAGTAACAAGAA